GCACGGGGATATTTTTACTTTATATACTTTATCTTTTAACATTTTTGCCTCTAATTTTTCTTTTAGATTTTTAGGAAACCTGTTTTCGGGAGTTTTCGCCCCCGAATGTGTTTTGTTGTTGTTGTTGTTGTTTTGTTTTTCCATTTTAGGGTCAGCTTAAATTCGTCTTGACTGACCTGAGTCCAAGATTCGAGGGTTTGATAAATATACGTTGCACGCAGAAATCACAGAAGAGGGGAGGCAGTTGTACTTCTCAGTATGAGCTATCCAAAAGCCTCGCTAATACCCCGTTAAAAAACCCTTTGGTACACCATAAAATTAAATATCTAAACTCTGCTGCTGTGATGATTACAAAAACGCATCACGAGTTAAAAGCTGGAAGCACTTTATTTTATTCGGAGAGGCTTGTGTGTGTCCTCTAGGCAGTGGTATAACAGAGCAGTTGTGCTGGGCTTGCTCATAGATACTCGATGTGCAAAACTCTCCAAATGCTCCTCCTGGCTGGTGTCACCAGGGGGAGCAGCTTCAGTGCCGCAGCTTCCAGAGGCCCTGGAACAAAGGAGCAGGACACAAGAGCTCCCCTTCCCCCTTTACCATTTATGTCTCTGGATCAGATCCCCATAAACACACTGAAAAATTTATTAGTAACTATCGTGAGCGGTGTAGGATATATGAAGTGCGAGTCTGGGAGGACGTTTGCTCCACAAACACTGTTTTTTTTCATGTAATTCTATATCAAAGTGAAAGCTCAGCTTTTTTCTCCTCTAAAGCTTTAAGGCCCCATCCTCCTCTGGAATAACCACAAGTATTAGCTGTGGCTAAGTGCTGCTGGAGGCCAATGTCTTCTGAGCTCTGTCACAGGAGATGGGAAGATACTTCTGCTTCCCGTAAGGCAACATAATATCGTGCAGTGAGTGCTGCAAACATGGTAATGTATTATGTGTATTTATCCACCACTGCCATGAAAGGAAGAGTGGGAGAAATGCGTGCCCTGGGTGTTGGCACGAATGACTTGCAAGCGGCTGTAATTGTGTAAACTGCCTGGAGTAATCAGTTTATGTAAATCCCAAAAGGAAATATGTCCTGTATATGTTGTCAGAACCTGATGTGAAATAGCAGCTCTGAAACTTTTTCTCACTCTGCAATAGACAGTTTCTGGAATCCATCGATGATCTCACCTGTGTTTACGCATCTCAAAAGGAACCCGAGCAGGGGTGGAGAACAGGGTCCTCTGCTCTGGAGTGGTCCCCCACTCTGCTCCCCAGACATGAGGGCTGCTCATCCCCCTTGGCCACCAGCATGGAGCAGCTCTCAGCCCAGGCTCCTGCACCCTGTGGGATCCATTTTGACTTCATGGGATGAAGGTTTAACACCCTCTTTGGAGTCAAGGGGGAGGCAGCAGGAACCATCGCTGCAGACCTCAAGGTAACAGGAGTTAGGGCTAAAAATAGCTGTCCGTTGTTATTCATATGAGTGCCCTATAGCAGCTGTCCCGGCGCTCGTGTGAATAATTAATAGGAGCAGGTCAGGCCGGGAATGACAAAGGGACGAAGAGAGATGGAGGCTGCAGCGGTAATGGAGTTGAGGCAGAAGCTCTTTTACCCTGGGGAGAGGAAGCAGCATGATGCTCTCAACCTAAACTCCACGGCTGTCGTGTTGTATAAGCACTGCCGTGGCCCATGGCTGTCCCGGAGCCTTGGAGCATGTTGCACCGAGCAATGAGGGCTCATAAAGAGCCTTCAGGATGGGTATGCTGTCCTCGCATCACTCCAAGGCTGTGGGCTCGTGAGCAGAAGGTTTCAGTGATGATTCTTGTCTTGCCATCTTCAATAGACATCTTCTTCATGTTGCCCGCTCTGCTCTGTCTTCAGGCTTTCATGGATAAACGAAAGGGTAAAATATTCTTGGCAGAGCAAGAGGAGATGCAGTTGCACAGTACTGCAAAGCTGCAATCAGCTTCCAGGCAGAAATCCAGACAAGCTAGTACAGGTAGAAAACCAGGCTTATCATGATTGGTGAGGAACAAATTGGGTGGGCAGGTCCCAGGAATCACAGAGAGTTGAGGTTGGAAGGGGCCTGTGGAGATCATCTAGTCCAAACGAGATGCATGTGTGACTGCAGGGCCATGATCTCATTGCAATTACTGAGACAGAGTGGGACAGCTCTCATGACTGGAAAGTGGCCATGGATGGCTTTAGGCTTTTCCAGAAGGACAAGCCAGGAAGGCGAGGTGGCAGAGTTGCTCTTTATGTGAGAGAGCAACTGGAATGTATGGAGCTCAGCGTAGGGGAGGACGAAGCGCGAATCGAGAGCCTGTGGGTGAGGATCAAAGGGCAGGCCAACAGGGGCAACACTGGTGTGGGAGTTTACTACAGGCCTCCTGATCAGGAAGAGGAAGTGGATGAGGCCTTCCACAGGCAGCTGCAAGAAGCCTCATGATGCCAAGCCCTGGTCCTTATCGGGGACTTCAACCACCCTGATGTCTGCTGGGTTAATCACACAACTCGGAGCAGACAGTCCAGGAGGTTCCTGGAGAACACTGCAGATAACTTTTTGATGCAGGTGGTTGATGAGCCAACAAGGGGAGGGGCACTGCTAGACCGGATGCTAACAAACAGAGATGGGACACAAGGACACATTGCTGGCTCATGGTCACCTTGTTGTCCACCACGTCTTCTCTGAAGAGCTACTTTCCAGAAGGGCAGCCCTCAGCCTGTCCTGGTTCATGGGGTTATCCCTTCCTGGGTGCAGGACCCTGCACTTGCCTTTGCTGAATTTCATGAGGTTGAAACCCATGAAATCCCTCTGCCCAACTCTCCAACCTGTCCAGGTCCCTCTGAGTCATTGCACAGTCCTCTGGGGTATCGACGACCTCACCAAATTTTGTATCGTTAGCAAACTTGCTGAGGGGGCACTCTGTCCCTTCAGCCAGGTCATTGATTAATAAATTGAACAGGATTGGACCCAATATTGACCCCCAGGGGAGATGCCACTAGTTACAGGGCTTTAACTAGCCCTTGCATTACTCATCAGAACCTTTTGAGTTCCACCATTCAGCCAGTTTTCAATCCACCTCACTGCTGATCTAGCCTGTACTTTATCACCTCGTCTATTTGCATTTTCAACAAGACTTTGTAGTGGGTGGAAATAAAACAGGGAGATGAGGCGCCAGGAAAGGAGGAAAACAGAGGAAGACCTGACTGCCACCAGCCAGGTCTCAAACACAGGCACAGTCCTGTCCCATGCTGACCCGCAAACCTCCCTCTTTTCCCAGGCATCACCTGATTCCGGAGGTTTCTCACTGGGTTTCCAAGCTCCCTTTATCATTGATAGCCTTTATTTATTTCCTGTTCCACTGGAGAGCTCCCCACTTTTTCTGACCTATATACCCCGCAATCTTCCTCAGGCTCTATTTTTTATTTCCCGTAAATAAAAGTCAGTTTTCAAGCCACACTATCTATGAGCTTCCTGTTATGCCGAGCACCCTTATTTAGCCCATAGAAGTGGAAGGAGTGCAGGAGCAAGCCGTGCAGTTATGTGGCTGGTGGCTTATCCACGGCTCCAGAAATGGGGAAGGAGCATCCCAGATTGAGCAGAGTCACTTTTCCTCAGGCAGCAGATCTGGGTCGAGATATTGGTGACACTTCACAAATATTTAGAATAAGGTGGAAGTGTAATAAAATGGAATAAAGTGAATTCAATAGGAAAAAAAAATCTTCCTTTTAACAGAAACAATGTGGGAAATGAGATGATCTGTGGAATGTTTTAGTCTGTTTAAATCTGTGCTTTCCAAGGAGCAAAATAGGATTTGTCCATCCTGTTTTCTCATCCAGCTGCCCTTGCAGGAGCTGAACTTGCACTGTGGAATTTGCTCCTGCAAGAGGAAATAGCGTTCCTGGCTTTCACTATTTCAGGGCCAAATGTGGAAGACATAATTTAATACTGGAGGAATCCTTCTTAATCCTCTAATCTGGCCCTTTACATAACGTGCACTGGAGAATTTCACCCAATCACATCTGCACCAAACTCAGGCATTTCTGATGTCATTTTCTTTAAGCATTTGTTATTCCCACACGCTCTGGTAAATCTTTAAACTGATCTATTTTTTTTTTCCTTTCTTTCCCATAGTGTCTGGGAAGAAAAACAGGGAAAACGATAATCATTTTCTTTAAGCATTTGTTATTCCCACACACTCTGGTAAATCTTTAAACCGATCTATTTTTTTTCCTTTCTTTCCCCTAGTGTCTGGGAAGAAAAACAAGGAAAACGATAAACAGTGCTTGTGAATAGAATTTATTTAGTTAAATTTATGGGGAGCTGCACAGTAAAGCATGCAGAAAATGAAGACTGACCTTCAGCCTATTAAGATGTGCTTGCTGTAGCCTTCCTCCTACTTCCCAGCACAGGAAGACGGGTGCAAAGAGGTCTGCTTTCCCTCCTGTGGGCAGATGCACAGTGTTAGCACTGCAAAAGGAGCCTGCTGGGAGCATAAAATCTTAATTCCAGTGCTGCTTCCCCCATGGCCTTCAGGATCCTGCGGGTGATTCGTTCTTTTCCTCCTGAGCAAAACAAAAATATGGTACTTCAAAAAAAAAAAAAAAAAAAGGAAAAAAAAAAAGAACCACCCAGGCTGTGTCTCCGGCCACAATAAAACCGAGTCCCACGGCAAAGGAAGCCGGAGGAGTGGCTGAATCAACACAGCTCCAGAGAGCGCGGCCGGGAGCGTCTGCCCGGAGCGGCAACCCCGCCGCGT